GTTTTGCAGTTAAGCCTAAATCTCAGCACTGTTGGGGTCTATGCCAGCTCCCTTTCCCTGGCGAATAGATCCTCCTACCCACATATTTCACTGAGATTCTGTTTCAGACTTCATATTTTCCCTTACTAGAACAAAAACGTTCTCAGCTGTCTGTTTACAAGAGTTGAATACTGCTTATAAGTGCCATCCCTTTAACCAATGGATGTGTCACTATATTAACCAGGTCTCTTTCAGATGCAACTGAAATTATTCACATTGTTTTGATTTTTAAAAGGAAATACATTGGCTCATATAACTCAAAAGGACAGTAGTAAATCCCTAGGTATGGTGGCAACCAGAGTGATGGGCCTATTCTCTCTAGAGAAGCTGGAAGTGGGAAAAGGAGGGACTGGGTTTGGGGCCAGGGATGGGACCAGCAGGGTCCTGAAGGCCTGGACTGGCTGAAGTAGGACCAGGCTGTTTGCTCACAGGATTTTAAAGCTGAATTAACTACTAGAAGCATGGCTATGGGAACTGCCACACTCAGGTCTGGGTCACTAGGGTGAAGAGAGGGAGTCTGGATTCAAAACCAGATGAAATGGAGGAAGGGAACCTGAAGAGAGAAGAGCTGCCAATTAAGTCGTGTGAGCAATGCTTAGAAACATTCCACAGGCTTAGAGCTGGGAATCTTCTTATTTCATTCCTGTGGCTGCAGGCAGAAGAGTGCTGAATCACTTAAACAGGGTGCAGAGGGGCTGATTCTTGGACTTTTTGTCACTTGATCTTTGGGATTTGGTTTCTACTCTGTTTGGCACTGCTTGACTCTATATCCAGTCATAACCTGGCTGTTCTTTCTGGTTAGATCCATTCATTTAACCAATAAACATTTACCAACTACCCATAAATCATTGTGTTAGGTGCCGGAGATATAGCAGTGAAGAAAACATAATTGCTGCCTTCATGGAGCTTGTATTTTTGGGGAGGGAGGCAGATAAAGTAATAAAACTAATTACAGGATTCCACACTAGTCTTGGCAACATACTGAGACCCCATCTCCACAAAAAACCAAAGTAGCTGGATATGGTGGTACATGCCTGTGTTCCCAGCTACTCGGGAGGCTGAGGTAAGAGGATCACTTGAGTCCAGGAATTTGAGGCTGCAGTGAACTAAGATTGCATTACCACTGCACTCCACCCTGGACAACGGAGAGATACTGTCTCTAAAAAAAATAAAAGATCTGACCTTTCTCAAAAATTGAAAAAAATATATTTTAAAATTAAAATTAAAATAGCAAAAAAAAAAAAGAAAAATGACAATGGGAATAATGATAAATGTTATAAAGACACATAGAGCAGGGTACATAGGATACAGAGTGAAGGGATAGGAACATTTTTAGGTCCCGATGTAGACCCAGGGTTTGAATGAGGCTATGCAAACACCAGAGGGACATGCTTTGCAGAGCACATGCCATAGGAGCACCCAGGATATGTTTGAAGTTCACAAAGAGGGCAGTGCAAGAAAGGAGAGGTTTGCAGGAGAGGAAGTTATAGGGGTGGACAGAGGCCTGATGACGAAGGCTGTTATGGGCTGGAGTAAGGACTCTGGATGTAGGTGATACTTGTTACGCAGATTCAGTTCTAAAATGCCAGCTCTTTCTGTTCAAGGTTCAGAGGGTTGAGAAAGAATGAATCAGAGATAGGACTCTGAGAGCTCAGGGAGTGGGTTAAACAGATGAGATAACAATGCTCAGGCTCCAGGCAAACTCACATCCCCCAGCACCACCACACCCTGCTTGGATTTCATTTCTATCTTTAAACTGGCATTGGAGCAGAATGGGAGAGGAGGGCCAAGCTGTTTCCCTGTAAGAATTTTCTTCTGATCTCTTTCCACTCTGTGCCTGAGCAGGGAAAATGGAAGATCGGCACAAGTGGGTGTGAGATCAGAAGAAAATTATGCAGCTGATACTCTGTTTAAAAGGGATTCTAGCATTCATCCCCACTCCAAAATATCAGTGGGAATTTCTGCTAACACAAAGACTGACACTACAATATTATACTTATTTGTATTCATTTTAACAGGAAGTATATTTGTATAACTTATAAAGTAAGTCAGACAGAACACTCTATATAGTGTGAGCTCTCAAATTGTCCTTATCTTATAAGTTAATATTTTTGAAAGTATTAGATAATTTACTGCTTAGAAAAATAATCACTATTTACCTTTCATGGTGGGCTTAAGGGTATTTTTCTTCCTTTTATATTTTCTTTATTGAATGGGAATTCATTCTATAGTGAAAAAAAGAAACTTTCTTAAAATAAGGAAGAGTTGTAAATATCTTATATAAAAAACATCTTATTATTAGAATTGGTTGAACGTAAATGACTATATGCAGGTTTGGGGTTGGCAGAAGAGAAGAACAGAATAGAAAAGAATAGAACAAAATCCAGAAATTTGAGAACTTAGGTATTCTTTAAATCATCTCTGATTTTTTAACATGAGAAAATTAAAGTTGAAGAAGTTTAGCTTAAGCTTGGAGTTTTTCTTTCAAACTTTACATGAAAATTCAAGTAACCTGTTCTCTATGCTTTAACTTTTAGTTATCCCTGTTATCAAAAGTAGTCATTTTTATTATGATTGTATTTTTGTAGATGCCCATTAATGTTATGGAAGAGGGTATCTCCCATGGGGTTGGTTATAATATTTTGGAGAGAGTTAACCAGTCATTTCTTTCAGATATTTATGTCTATGTTATGTTTTATGCCTTACCTATTTGCTAACTCACACAAAAACAAAAGTATTTCATATTGGAACCCAGCACACACACACATGTACACAGGCACACATATACACAAATAACACAAGATATTTTTCTTTGCTTTGCTTGTCTTTTCTGTTCTTCAGTTCTATTTTATTCTCTTTTGTTTAATTATAAATTCTGATCCCAACCCACTGAATGATTTTATAACCCATTTCTGGGTTTCAACTCAGTAAGACAAGAAGATACGATTTTGAAAAAAAAAATGTGATTGAATAAAACTAAAATGTAAGCCATTAGCTAATGATGACATCCACAATGGCTGTAAAGTGAAGCTGGGGGTTTTTTTTGTGATCACAGTTCTGGGCCATGGTGGTTGCTATCGTAGAGGAAATTCGTTTTCTACTCCTGGACCTGGTGACCAATGGCCATGAGTTTGAGCACAAATGTGTCTTTATTCTTGGTATCACTAATCAGTTTAATTGACCTTGCAGTACTAGAAAGAATAGGTCACAAGTTTTTGAAGCTTGCTCTATATTATAAGCTGCAAATATATACTTATAGTTTTATAATTCCAGGTTTCATTAGTCAAGGAGAGAAGGAAATTAAGAGACAGCAAAGTTCATTCCTGGATTTACACGTGAGACTCAATCATCAGTCTAAAGTTCACTTAGAACTTTCAATGAACTTCAAAGATTTTAATCCTGTTCATTACATTGAAGTCCACAGGAATCCCACACAACTTTGAATGGATATGTAGTTAAAATTTCTTAGATACCTACCATCATTTCTCACTTTTATTCCTTAGGCAATGGCGATGGTTGAAACTTGCAATAGGGACAGCTTTTGTTTTTGGCAACTCATTATTCCTGAAGTCTTACTCCAGTAAAACAGTAACTCATATTTCCTCTTGGGTGCCATCTGCCTCCTTCTTCTTTCAGTCTCGCAATGTAAGTCATGAGGACAGGGACCAATTCTCAGCACTATTTACTGGCTTTTGCAGTACTTTTTAAGCTGTTGCTCATTGCTCTTGAATCCCAGGGCATACTCAACCTCAGTCTAGCCTTCAGGGCCAATACTGAAGAGAGACAAGGGTCATCTGAAGAACTCTGTGATGTGGCATCTTGGTTTTTGCTGCTAAGTTGGTTTTTGCTGTTTGTGCCTCAGTTCTAACAATGGGTTATCCACCTTGATACCTGGGGCCTGTCTCACAGTATATAAATTGTCTTTTAGTCCCCCGGAAATCTGACACCTCGCCCTACTCTTATGTGGTACTAGAGACTTAGATGATGACTGCATCAATTGTCTGACAACACTGGTACTAGTAACCTGATTTATTGGTTCTCTGCACTCTTCTGTAAGCTTTTTGGGAACTGAACTATAGTAATTAGATATCTCATGATTAAGAGTGTTCCTGTTTTCTTGGAAAGGACATCTGAGGAACTGCTTCCCTAGGCTATCCCCTTTTGTCTGATGTAATGTTCCAGATGCCAAATATTGCCCTCTCACCGGGCCATCTCCCAGCATCTTTGGCTGAGTCGTATCTGAATGTCTGCTCCACTCTCATGGATGAGTAATTATCAGAAGCTAGCCCCCCTCTCTCTTTTTTCCCTGCTGTTGACATACCTATTGGATTCTCAAGATATATACAATCAACTGTTTGTTATTCCTCTCCATGTCCAACATAGTATTTTGTTCCGGAAATAGTTGTTGGATACATATGTACATTTGAAAATTAGTATCAGTTGTCATTTTGTCTGAGTGGGCAGATTTAGTAACAAAATGAAAACTTATATCTTGATAACGTTTTAAACAAGAAAAGTTGGAAAGAATGGGTTTACTTCTTCAAAATTTATAACGAAAAGAAGTGTCCTAAGTTCAAGTTCAGAAGGTTGTTTATTTAAATACAACATTCAACCTGTTTCATTTTGATGTTGACAACTTTTGGGTGTGTTCCATGTAACCTCATATAATTTTTACAAATATATTTTAAATTTTGTTTTGAAACTGTTTCATAGAGGCTATGAAGTAAAAAGAAAATAAATAAAGAGAGAGATGAAGGAAGGAAGAAAGAGTGAAAGAAGAAAATAAAAAAGTAAGAAAGAAAGGAAGGAAGAAAAGAAAAAACCCCGAAATGATCAGATTCCTTTATAGTCCCCTGATGAGTTCTCCACCCAGAGATCCTAAACTTTATTGTGTTCTTTTCGAAACTCTATTTTGAAGGAACTAGAAACTGAGTTTGTTTAATTAACATTATTATGTCAAGTTTCAGTTACCAAGAATGCCCTGTTGATAGAGGAAAAAAGAAGAGGATTGTTTTGCTTCTTCAAGAAATGCATTGAATTTGGAGGGTGATGATGGAAATTACATTTTGTTGGTAAGTTAAATGTATAATAAAAACATGCATTTCCTTGATTGAAAATTTCTTTCAAGGATCCTTTGTGGATTTGGGTATACACTATTGGGCCCTTCTTACAGATAAGCTTATCAACCTTGCAGAGGAATATTTCCTCCTGTGTCTGGGTCCTAGAGTAGAAAAATGAAGATTCAACTGTAAAAGGATCGATGTAGAAGAAAAACATTAGTGTAGTAAGATAGGATGCTGAAAAAAATACTACTATAATTGCTTTAAATGCAGCATCATGGGCTATTTGCATTTTTGGCAATTCTGCTTAATCACCAGAAATGTTAAAAGCAGCTTTTAGGGAGCTCTCTGTCCCAGCACAAAGGCAGACATGCAAACAACTAATTAGGATATAATGTAATGGCAAAGCATAGGGGAACAGAGACAAATTGTCTCCTGAATAAGTGAGTCATGAAGGCTTCAACAGTGTAACTGATGTTTGAACTAGGCCTCAAAGGGTGATAAGAAAGTGCTGGATGAAGAGAAGAAAGGCATTGTAGGGCAGGGACTAGGAAGAACAGAAGCACCAAGCTGTGAAATTTCAGGGTCTGCTGAGGGAAACAGTGATTGACCAGGTGTGACCTTAGGAACAGTATATGTTAGAAAGGGGGTTCTTGGCATGAAGTGGCCAGAAAAGCTGATTGGAACCAAATGAGGAAGGACTTTATATGTAGGTCAGAGGACTTTGGACCTGATCTTAGGAGTCATCAGAAGTTTTATTTTATTTAATTTTTATTAAATGTAATAAAAAAGTTTAATATGAAGAATGTATACTACCTAATTTTTACTTCCTAGTGAAACATGAAACGTGGGGGACTAATTGATTTCTCTACTGAACATGATGGTTTTACTTTTTTCAAGGCTTCTGACATGATACTATTTTCTTGTATTACCACCATTGCCCACTAGTTGGGATCATATGTTCGTCTATCATGAGATTCATAAAGGGATCAGATTATCATAATATTCCTTGGCTATGTCTACCACAACTTAAACTCTTGTCCATAATTTTTTTCTACTTAAGAAGGTGAGCTTTGCTCATGGCATCTACTTAGGCTCTGAGCTGCCTTGAAATGGAATTTGCAGCCTCCTTCATGTTCCTGCTGTGTTATCAAAGGTTTTTAAACAGAGGAAGCTGCCACCTTCTGGATCCTCAGCACCTCTCACTCATGCTCCCTAGCCCCACCTAAGCAATACAGTACATGCCCCCATTTTCCTCATTACTGTTCCTCCCAAATATTCACAGCTTTCTTAAAATCCAACCAATTCTAACACTCTTTCCTTTCTTTTTTTAAAGCACCTTTGCTTCCCGGACTGTGTTTGATCTCTGGAAAATCCTTTTTTTTTTTCCTTTCTTGCTTCTCTTGTCTTGTTAACCAGAGAGTGAACTCCCTTCTCATCGTCATCCGTGCTTTGACAGCCTTGGACATATGACCTCCATGGCAACTCAAGCAAGATCTGCACTGGTATCAGAGAGTAGGCTACCTTGTAATAAATATTAATACTTATTGAATACCTATTTTGTGAGGGATATCTTAGACATTGGGAAGACAGTGAAGAACAAAACGGATGAGACATCTGCTCCCCTAGGAGTTTATGGGCTTTAAAAGATGTTGGCAAATTACAGCCTATGAGTCAACTCTAACCCACCACCTGTTTTTATTAAGTTTTATTGAAACACGGCCACATTTATTCATGTATGTATTGCCTACAACTGTTTTTGTGCTCTAAGGGCAGAGTCATGTAGTTGCAACAGAGACTATGTGGCCTGAAAAGTCCCAAATATTTGTTATTTCACCCTTTACAGAAAAAGTTTGTTAGTCCCTGGCCCAAACCATGCTTCTTAAGATATCTGCAATGAAAGATTAGTTAAAAAAAAAAGTTTTTTTGTTTTTTTTTTTAAATTTACTGTCCCAGCTTGGGCAACACACCTGGGAAGAAAAAGAAAAAAAAATTAGCCAGGCATGGTGGCATGCCTGTAGACGCAGCTACTTGGGAAGCTGAGGTAGGAGGATTACCTGAGCTCAGGAGCTCAAGGCTGCAGTGATGTATGATTGTGTTACTGCACTCTAGTCTGAGTGACAGAGTGAGACCCTATCTCTGAAAAAATGGAAAAAGCAATTATTGTGAGCATATCTCACAGCTTATAATAAAAATGAGTTTCTTAAAAATGCAAAATATAAAAGTTCCTCAAACATATAAAATATAAGTCCAGATTACTACCTCAAGTTGCTATAAAAGTTTCTAAATACTTAATCTAAGTTTATGTATTTATCTCCTAGAGGGTGAGGAATTAATAGTTTGCAGAACAGCACTGACCAATAGAGCAGTTTGAGTAGTGCTAGCTTAGCAGGAAGACAGAAATCAAGCAAATAATAGCACTAAACACTATCCTAGATTAAATTTTTACTAAGAGCTATGATTAAAAATCACAAAATGGTATGTGACTTAATTGCAGGGGAGACAAGACAAGATTTCCTAAACAGATGAACTCTGAGCTGAGATATAAGAGTAAATGTGAATTAGTCAGACAGAGTATATTTTTGAGTGTGATGATGTTAAGAGAGCATCCATGGAAATGGCATTGCATGTGCAAAAGCCCTGGGTGGAAATTAACTTACTGTGTCTCTGAACTGTCAAAGCACTTTATGTGTATTTCTCCTTCAATCCCCTCAACAATCCTATAAGGTCATTATCATCTTCTCACTCACGCTCTTCATCATCAGTTAAGCAATCTATTAACATGTCTCCTTTATCATTTATTTTATAGGTGAGAAACTTGAGGAGTGAAGATGTGAAGCAACTTATACAAAACCCCACTCAGTTGGCTAGTGAGGTACAGATTTGGAACTGGGTTCTAGGACTATCTGATGTCATAGTCTGTGCTTTTTTCTACTATGTGACACTATATCATTTGAAGTACTAATAACCCCTGATTTTAACCCTGGAGGCTTTTGCTACCAGTTCTCAGCAATCCTAAAGGGCTACCTTAATTTTTCTGTCTTCTTTGTCAAGGCTAGAACATATAATTAGCTTTATCAAATTTACAGCCTTTCCACTGAGAACATAAATGGAAAAAGAGAATATTAAATACAGGCTAGAATTAGGAACCAGCTTTTTGTGGTATCCAGTAGCAGAGGTATATGGCTGGTGTCTGAATTAGGTTCCTCTGTAAGTAACAGAAACACTAAATGACAGTTGCTTCAAGATTCAGACTTGTTCCTCTGTCATGTAAATCATTGCAGGCAAGTAGTCCAAAACACTATTCATGAAATCATTAAGACTGCAGGATCTGTCTATCTTGTATTCTGATTTCCATAGCAAGCCATCTTATGATATTAAGATGGCAGCTTGAAGGGAGTACAAACTAGTTCAACCTCTATGGAAAACAGTGCAGTAATTCTGAAAATAACTAGAATTTGACCTTCCATATGACCCAGCAATCCTTCTGGGAATATAGCCAGAGGAACACAAATCATTCTACAAAAAAGATACCTGTACATGCACATTTATTGCGGCACTATTCACAATTACAAAAACATGGTACCAACCATGTTGCCCATCGAAACTAGACTGGATTAAAAAAATGTGGTACATATACATGATGGAATAGTACACAGCCATAAAGAAGGAAAAAACTATAGACTTCGCAACAACGTGGAAGGACTTGGAATCTATCATACTCAACGATCCGTTATGAAAACAAAGAACTGAGTACCACATGTTCTCACTCATAAGTGGATCCTGAACACCTATAAGACAGGGATTGGCAGTAGCGGGTCACTGCTGGGGGTGGAGGAGCACATAAAATCAATAAGCATGCCTGATCCTAATCCAGGCAAAGTGAGGGCCATTGGGAGATCCAAACTTCACCTGTACTTAGGCCACTTATGTACCCAATCCTGACTTGTACCTCACATCTTAAAAAAAGAAAAAGAAAAGAAAAAAATGGCTGTTCGTCTCTGCATTAACTTTCCAGGGCTGCTGTAATAAAGCTCCATATAGGTGGTTTAGAATAGCAGAAATCTATTGTCACATAGTTCTGGAGGCTAAAAGTTCAAAACAAGGGTGTTGGCCTAGTCATGCTCTCTGATGGATTAGGAAAGAATACTTCTTGCCTCTTCTAACTTCTGCTCTCTGCTGGCATTCCTTGATATTCCTTGGGTTGTGGATTTGTCACTTTGATTTCTATCTCTGTCATTACATGACTATCATCCCCCTGTGTGTTCCTACGTCATCTTCTCTCTGTGCCTGTCTCTGTGTAGTTATTTGATATTTTCCACGTATGTGTGTTTAAATGTTCCTCTTCTTATATTTCCAGTCATATTAGATTAAGACCCATCCTCATGATCTCATCTTAATCTAATTAAATCTATAAAGACTGTTTTCAAGTACATTCACCTTCACAGGTACTGGAGGTTAGCATTTCAACATTTTTTTTGAGGGAGGAGGTTGTAACAATTTAGCCCACAACAGGTTCCAACATCTTGCTACATTCCAATTTTTGTAATAGTAAGAGAAGGAGATAATGCCTCTTTACTTTAAGAACAATTTTTATATGGTGTACAGAAAAAGTCTGCTTACATTGGCCATATGTGCAAGGAGGTTGGTCAGCTTTGGTCTCAAAGCCCTCATTTATAGATGGGAGATAATAAAATATACCTCATATGATTATTATATGGCTTAAGTAGGATAGTATGTAAGAGTTCCTGCCACAAATAAGATACTTTATAGTTGTTTGTTAGATATGAATCTAGGAAGGAGAGAAGGAAGAAAAGGAAAAAAGGAAGGATGCAGGAGAGAAAAATGGTTTCTGGATATAACAGTCTATTTCAAAGAAAAGTTTGAGAAAAATGGGTATTTTCTTCAGTGTTCTTTTAAGTAAATGATGGTTCTTTGGAAAAAATATCGGTCTACCGACTTTCAGAAGTTCTTTTAATGTGATATATATAGTTATCCCACACTATATGAATTGTTATTTGAGGAGTAGTTCGCCGCCAAGTCTAGCTAGAAAACAATCATTGAACAGATGATATCATATAATCAGAAGAAGTAACAGTTTATGTGATTACAATTAGCTTAGAGGAGTAGTCCAAATGACTCCTTTGGCTTTATATAGGTGATGCAGACATCTTTTCTTGTAGGTATTGTAGCAAATAGAGTTGGCTACTTGCCCCACAATATCCAATCTCTCCCTCCTTTCTATGTTAGCAAATTTCTAGCTGGGACATATGGCCACCCATCATATAACACTTCTCAGCTTTCCTTGCCTTAAGTGTGGTTATAAGATCAAACATTTGTAAATAGGTATGAACATAAGTAAAGTATGCAACTTCTGGTCATGTACTTAAAAGAAAGAGATATAGGTCTATCTTTCCCTTTATCTTTTCTCCTTTCTGCTCCCTGGGATGTGGATGTGATACTGAGTTTTCTTTGACAAGGGCAGCAACTTAGGACATGGCAAAGGAAAGAGGTAACAGGAGCCTGGGTCCCCAATATCATGGAGCTGCTCCATCAGCCCAAACTTGCTTTATCTGTTCAAACTTGTATTCTTTCATGAAAAGAGACTTTTGTTTAAACCACTGTTATTTTAGACTTTATTATATCAAATAAATCTGTACTCAAAAAGTTATAGGTTTTGGTAATCTAAAGTGAGCATTGGTTGAGTGGTCAGGTAGTGGGTACAAGAACATAGTTATTGCCAACTGGAAAGCTGTCTACCATGATTATGCAGCAGAAAAGTATTTGGAAAGTACTCGGCAAGCAGACCAAACACTTATGAAAACCATAGCTTTAAAATAAAAGGTTAAAAAATTTCAAGATGTTGAAATGTATTGGTTGCTTTTTTTTAAAAGTTGGTTGCTCAGGTTGGAGTGCAGTGGCACGATCATGGCTCTCTGTCGCCTCCAACTCCTGGGCTCAGGCAATACTTCCACCTCAGTCTCCTGAGTTACTAAGACTACAGGCATGTGCCACCACACCTGGCTAATTTTTTTATTTTTTAAACTTTTTTGTAGGAACAAGGTCTCTATATGTTACCTAGGCTGATCTTAAACTCTTGTCCTCAAGCGATTTTCCAGCGTATTGGCTACTTCTTTATTTCTTTAAGTAAAGTTTTCAAGACAGATATGAGTTGAGCCTATTTGCAAACAAACATGAAAGAGAATACAGCTTTCCTAAGAGAAGACTAATCATTGACCAATTTAGGACCCCTGGAGGGTTGAAAGGACCCATTATTTCCACAGTTCAAACTAAAGGCATGACAAGTGGTGGCTACGAAGCGTTCATGTGGCAGGAAGATAGTTTTGGTTCCTCATTAATCTTGGTCAGTTTTCTCCCGAGCAAGTCCACATAAAAATAACGGTGTTTCCAAATAGACTTCCATCAATGTTCAATACAAAACATCTTTACAAATTTTAATTTTTTTATTACAATAAACAATCTGAGCAAAAGGAATGTTCTTACTATACAAACATAGCCTTAAGTAAATTCTTCTCCCCCAAATATCTTTAAACCAAAATATGCACATTCCTGGGTTGCAAGTTTCCCCAGGGGGTGCTGGAATACATATAACCTTACTGGGGTCAATATTAAACTTTCGTGTTCAATTGCACAAGTCAATGTACCCGTCCTTTGCAGCCTTTCCTTTCACAATCGTGCTCTCCCCAATTGACTTCAAAAGGCCTGCTACCTCTCTCCCTTTTCCAGTCTTACCATCCTGCAAATGTGCAATATTTCATGGTGTTTGCAGTAATTGATGTCTGATACTAAGGATAACCAGGTGACTTTTAATGAAACACTTAGACCATTGTGCTCACAGGGGGAAAAACTATTTACATAATTTCAATTTATATACATAGTTTTATTGCAAGGAAATATGATAGAGGCGATCAATATGGAGCTGAAAGCACAAAATATGTTACATTAACATACAATTCCATGAGGGAAGTAAAAGGGAAATGTGAATTCAAGGAACAAAAAGGATTGTCACAGAAAAACTTGCTCACATTTTAATAAAAATGAATGATGATAGTGTCACATCACTATTATTTACATTCTTTTTGGTACATTTAAAAAACTAATATAGCCAATTTATTTTTAAAGTAGCAAAACATACAATATGTTAGAATTGCATCTTTTGCTACTAGTATTTAAACATATGAGGATAAAATTTTTACATTTAGATTTTAAAATGTTTGAGGAACTTCATAATATTTAAATGTTTTCTAAATGTGTAGACAAGCACAAATGTTTTGAGACCACATTTCTATTCCCCACTGCCACTAGATTACCTCTCATAAGTCCCTCCTTGTTATGGAATGATGGACCCTCTGGTACTCCTGAGAAAATAATGCCTTTGTTTAGAATTGCTAATGACTCCTGGATGGTTGTGTTTTTTCTAGGGAGCCAAATGAGATCAGCAGAAGTTTTGTCTGCATACAGTGTACAGGAGGTCAAGCTTCAGACTTGGGTATAATGGATGGGCCTTTCAGTTTAAGTGTAAACTGTAACATTAGGTTATTTGAGGTGAAGAAACATATATGGAAATAGTGACAATGTATGCCTTTCTTCTTTCTTCTTTTGATGAGTTTTCTTTTTCTTTTAGGAAAGGTTGAAAATATACTTTCTCATTCCTCCCATATTTGATTCTGTCACATGGAGATGATCTTGCTGAAACAATATTACTCTGCGTGTTTTTCTTGTATCCAAAGCAAATACTAGTTTCCAGTCCCTTGTATTTTTTTTCAAATAAGACTGTTAGAGTTCTCAATTATGAACTGTATTCATTCTGCTATAGCTAGAAGGCTTGGCAAGTGTTTTCTAATGAAACATTGTATACCGTATTAGGTTTGTTACCTTTTTTTTTAAACAAAGGATATTTGGAAGAACAAGTTACTGGAATGTTTTCAAAACACTTTGACTTAATTTTTTTAATAAGGAAAAAAATATTAGACCTGTATTAGCACACTAATCACTTTCTAAAATATATAAAAATGGGGATTGAGTATCATTTTTAATAAAACTTTAGTTTCTCTTTAGTAGACATTTCCTCGCCACTAAAGTTCATATTAATTGTTCCAATTAAAGCCAAACTGTGAAAATGACTAACAAAATGTGATATAATTTATCTTCTTTTTATTTTATTTTTGAGTCAAGTTCTCATTCTGGCATCCATACTGGAGTGCAGGTGATATGACTACGGCTCTCCACAGCCTCAACCTCCTGTACTAAGGTGGTCCTTCCACCTCAGCCTCCCAAGTAGCTGGGGCTATAGGTGTGTGCCACCTCTCTTGGTTAATTTTTTTTATTTTGATTTTTTATAGAGATGAAATCTCACTATGTTGTTTAGGCTAGCCTTGAACTTCTGGGCTCAAACCATCCCTTAGTCTTGGCCTCCCAAAGTGCTGGGGCTACAGATGTAAGCCCCTATGCCCAGCTAATTTATCTTCTAACTGGACCAAGACAACGATGCCCATTTTCTTTTTTTTTTTAATTTTTAATTTTAAATATGTAGGGTGCAATTCAGGTTTTGGGTATACAAATGTTCATTATGCAGGTACCCTTGTTGATGAAATGTGCCTCCCCTCTTCTGGCAGTTTCCCACTACTGCCAATCTCTCCCCACTCCCTTTCCTGGCAGTTTCCCACTACTCATAGTATTATGATAATTGTTCAAGGTTTGCTTATGAGTGAGAACATGTGGCACTCAGTGTTTTGTGTCTGTGATAAGGATGCCCACTTTTAGCACTCCTGTTTATCGTAGTACTGGAAGTCCTTGCCAGGACAATCAGGCAAGGAAAAGAAAGGCGTCCAGGCTGGAAAAAGGAAGTCAAATGATCTCTGGTGATAATGTGATCTTATACCTAGAAAACCTAAAAGATTTGATAGATTTAGTAAATAAATTCAATAAAGTGTCAGGATGCAAAATCAATGTATAAAAGCCAGTAGCATTTTTATACACCAATAACAATCAAGCTGGCAATTCAATAAAGAAGGTAATACCATTTAAATAGCTACCAAAAATACAAAGTTCGGGATCTGTTTATCAGGGGGTGAAAGAGCGCTAAAAGAAAAACTACAAAACACTGATAAAAGAAATTGTAGATGACACAAATAGAAAAACATGCTCATGGTTAGAAAAAAGAACTTTGTTCAAATGATCATATTGCTCAAAGCAATCTTAAGATTTAATGCAATTTCTATCAAAATATCAGTGTCACTTTCCACAAAAATAAAAACAAAAATCCTAAAATTCATATGAAATAAAAAAAGACCCTGAATATCCATGGCAATTCTTGCAAAAGGAGCAAAGCTGGAGGCATCACATTACCTGGTTTCAAATTATAGTACAAGGACTATAGTAACTCAAACAGCATGGTACTGGTATAAAAATAGACACATAAATCAATAGAAAGTAATATAAAACATAGAAATAAACAAAGTTGTTAACAAAGTTGACAAAACATATGCTGAGGAAAGGACACTGCATTTAATAAATAGTGTTGGGGAAATAGGATAACCATATGTAGAAGAATGAAACTGGACCCCTATATATCACCATAAAAAGTTAATTTAAGATGAATTAAAGCCTTAAATGTAAGACCTAGAACTATAAAACTACTTGGAAAAAACTTAGGAAAAATTCTTCTGGACATTGATCTAGGCAGATAATTCATATTAAGACTTCAAAAGCGAATGCAACAACAACAAAATAGACAAATGGGACTCAATTAAACTAAAAAGCATCTGCACAGTAAAAGAGGTCATCAACAGTTTGAACAGATAACCTGCAGAATGAGAGAAAATATTTTCAAACTATGTATCTGACAAGGTGCTAATATCCCAAATCTACAGGAAACTCAAACAACTCAACAACAAAAATAAAACCAAATAAACCCATTAAAAAGTGAATAAAGGACATGAACAGACATTTTTCAAAAGAAGACATACAAGTGGCCAACCAGCATATGAAAACATTCTCAACAACACTGATCATTAGACCAATGCAAAATGAAACCACAATGAGGTATCATCTTATACCAGCCAGAATGACTATTACAAAAAACAACGGATGTTGGTGAGAGTGCAGAGAAAAGAGAACACTTAGACACTGTTGGAGGAAATATAAAGTACAGTGTCCATGGAAAACAGTATGGAGATTTCTCAGAGAGCTAAAAATAGAATTACCATTCGATCCAGAAATCCCTCTATTGTGTATCTGCCCAAAGGAAAATAAATTATTGTATCAAAAAGGCACTTGTGCTGGCATGTCTATCAGCACTATTCACAACAGCAAGGATATGGAATCAAAAGTGTTCGTGAATGGGTAATTGGATACAGAATATGTGACACCCACACACATACACACAGACACACAATAACACACACACAATGGAATACTACTCAGTCACAAAAAGAATGGAAGCATGTCTTTTGCCGCAAAGATGGCCCGGGGTCATTATCTTAGGTGAAACAACTCAGAAAGTCAAATACTGCATGTTCTCACTTACAGTGGGAGCTAAATAATGTGTACACATGGACATAGAGTGTTGAATAATAGACTCTGAGGACTCAAGGGTGGGAGGATGGTAGGGAGAGGATGGTAGGGAGAGTGAGGAATGATAAATTACTTAATGGGTACAATGTACACTATTCGGGTGATGGTTACACTAAAAGCCAAGAGGGCACCACTATGCTATATATTCATGTAACAAAACTGAACTTGTACTTCCTAAATTTATACAAATAGAAAATTGTGTTCTACCTGGACTGTATTGATTTCATGTATGTTCACCAATTTTTTCTGTTGAAATAAGAAAAATAAAACCCGCATTTGTTTTATCCATGAAGTTGGATATCTCATAGGCATTCTACTCGGCCAAATTTCTCTGGGAGCTTCTCATTCTATCATAGAAATGTCTCTCTCCCCTAATAGTCTTATTTCTATGAAAAGATCTACTTCCAAAGTACTCAATTTATTGGACCGGAGATGAGGCCCTCCTTCCCTCCTCAACCTGAGCCAAGTCAATCTGATTGTCTCCCAGGCATTTAGCATCGGGTTTGAGAGACTGGAATTTGTCTCTGCCTGTGACTAGGCCTAATGCTTATTTCCTTGAGCTGGAGATACAGATTGCCTTTGGGAAAGCAGACTGGCTTATCTTTAACATTAATAAAACCAGGAGCAAGAGTATAAATGATGGCTTCATGATTTTGTTAACATATTTGGGCTGGGCATGGTGGCTCAATCTCATAATCCCAGCACTATGGAAGGCTGAGGTGGGAGGATCGCCTGAGGCCAAGAGTTCAAGATGAGCCTGGACAACATAGTAATATTCTATCTTTACCAAAAAAAAGAAAGAAAAGAAAAGAAAAGAAAACCCAGGTGTGGTTGAAGGGTGTAGGAAGCGACCAGAGGGGCGGCTCCGAAAAGGCACCGACACACCAGACAACAAAAGCCCTAGGTCCCAGCTTCTGTGAACGCAATTCCCCGCGCGCACAAATTTCAAACCTTCCCACTCGCAAATTTCAAACCTGCAAGCCTCCAATCCGTAGCCAGCTTTGTTATGCGTCCAATAGGACCATAACACGGCATTAGCCCCACCCTACTCCCATGCAGCTCCTCCAATAGGAGCATAGCACGGCCCCTTCCAGCCCCTGTCAGGTTAATAAATACAGCCCTCTCCCCGCAACTCTCTCTCTCGGTCTCTCTTTCTCTCTCTCTGTGTCACTCTGTCCCTCTCTGCAGCTCTCTCCCCACCTCTCTCCCACTTCCTCTCTCTCTCTTACTCTCTCTTTTTCTTTTTTCCCTTTACAGATCCCCTCTGTAACAGCCACTTTCATAAATCTCTTGGTCCTGGCTGGGTGTGGAGTCATTACTGGCCCCGAACTTCTTTCATTGGTGCCGTGACTTGGATCGGGTGCTCCCTTGCCCTTGTGCGGGTGTATTCCCATAGGCGGGATCCCCGACCCGGCGCCAGTGGCCACTCCAGCCCTCCTGGAGCTTCGCCACCATTTTGAACGTGTGACCTGCATCCACCAGCGACCATTGGATAGGTGAGTTCCCCAGACATGGAAGCCTGAAACTTGCCCGGGATCACTGGGGGTAACTGGCCGTTGATCGTCCAGCAGCCCCTCCAGCCCCAGGGTGAGGGGGAACGCACCCCGCCTCAGCCTTCACGGCCACAGCGGACCCTAAAGTCTTCCTTTTCTCCTTTTCTCTCACCAAGCTACAGCTAAAGGTTTTTCCCTCCTCCTTATCTCTCTCACACCTTCCCACGGCCGCCGGGTGGCAGCGGGCCCCAGGGGTCCCACGTCTGCTAGCCCATAGCGAATCTCACCCAACTCCCCCCAAGGAATCCCATGGCTGTCGGGCTGCAGCTGGCCCCAGGGGTCCCACGTCTGCTGGCCCACAGCGTATCTGTCGGGTAACAGGGAGCCTCAGAGGCACCATGTTTGTTGCCCCACAGTAAGCCCTATTCGACTGGCAGGAATCACAAACATGCTCCCACCCACTGCCCGGTCAAGTGCTCTCAGTCTGATTCAAAAAGCCTAGCGCAGGTGCCTTGACCCCCTGGGTTCTCCAGGAGGACCCTGGTTGTGCCGAACCCCTGTGACAACAGGCTTTGCCACAACCACACTTGTTGGACAGCCGACTCTTCGGGGGACGCCCTGTTTAGTCTACCTGTCTGATCATGGGAAGCTCGTCATCCCTGCCAGCCGATTCCCCTCTTAAATGCCTCTTAAATAATCTCACCACTTTCTCTTTCCCCTGATATCAAGCCCAAATGCCTAATTCATTTCTGCACCCAAGATTGGCCAACATACCCCTTAGACAACCAAAATCAGTGGCCCCCTCAGGAGTCCCTCAATCCTGATATTATTCGGGGCTTATATAATTTCTGTGAACATTCAAAATGGTGGGTAGAGATTACCTATGTTCAGTCCTTTTCTCTCCTCCGTGAACATCCCCGCCTCTGCCTCAATTGCAATCCCTCTAATCTCTACCCTACACTCATGCTAGCATCTACCGCCTCTTCTACAACTTCTCCTTCTCCCCTTGTTTTACACACACTTCAGCCTCCCCTCCAAAACTCCCCTCCCCCCACTGCAGCTCCTACACTGTAAGTTCCAGTTGCGCTACCCCCTCCTCCATCTCAGATTTCGACCCTGCAGACGAGCCCCCCCCTTACAGACAGCCTCAACAACAGCCTCAGTCTCCCCCCACCCCCACCCTTCTCTACTCCAGCAGCTTGATCCCTATATCCTCCCCTTCCAATCATTCCCCAGTGTAGCCCTCCGGTAACTCGAACCAAGGCTGCATTGGTCGTCCTAGCAGTTTACTAATATTGATTTAAACTCTATAAAGGGACAAACTCTTTTGGCTATATATTTTATCTCCCAGTCAGCACCGGGTATTAGGCGTAAACTTCAAAAATTAAAAAAGGGCCCACAAACCCCTCGATTAGAGCTATTAGACATGGCCTCTAAAATCTTTAACAACCAAAAGGGGGAAAGAATACAGGACCAATACAGGACCACCAACATAAGCAGGAAGCACTTCAGTTTTTATCTACCACTTTAGCAGAAAAAGACACCACTGATAATCTTCCACCCCAGATGGTCAATAGCAGAAGGGGTACACAGCCCCCTTCCCAGGTTTGTTTCTGATCCTGTCAAAATGGGCATATGGCCAAAGACTGTCAAGCCCTGCCCACCAGCAAAACCCTGTCCCAAATGCAAACAGTATGGATATTGGGCTCATGATTGCCTCATTCGCCTAGCCAGAGGAGAGCACTTGGCCCAGAGGCTTGCTGCAATTAAGGGACATCAGGCATCTTACACGATCTCAAAGGGGGATCTCTTGGGCTTGCTCCAGTCAGATTGACTCGCCCCTAACTTGGTAGCCCCAATGTCTTTGGAACAAACTATTAAACTAACCGAGTCTAGGGTGGAAATATCAGTAGCTAGCAGGGTTATATCATTTGTTATTAATACGGGGGCTACATGCTCAGCTCTACTTAAATTTCTTGGTCCACTCCTTCCTTCACCCCTTTTGGTTGTGGGGGTACAGGGCATTATATCCAGGCCCTTCGCTATGCCATTACTTCCATGTGTTCTGGGAAATAAAATATTTCACACTCTCTCCTTATTATGCCAACATGTCCAGCTCCATTATTAAAAGGGGACATTATGACAAAAATTAAAACTCATATTATTCTTTACCCTGAGCCATCACTGCTGTGTTTTTTGGGTGCCTTTTGTATAGTTTTAAATTTCCCTAATAGTTCACGTTGGATCCTATCTAAGCCCTTCCACTGCATATAAACTTATTGCTTTGGTTAAAACTCTAAGGTTAGGAAAAATGTAAAGAAAGTTGTTGGTGTAAGGTATGTTTTTAGTAAGAAAGGATAAAGAAAAGATAAATAATTGTATAGGAAAGAATATTGTATGGTACATTTTTGTTCTATAATAGAATGGCTGGTTAAAGAAAGTATAGAACAAAAATAGAAGGTTTAAGCATGTCAAAAAATGGTATGAGCATGTCAAAAAATGGTATAAGTATGTCGAACATGGTAGGTGAAAGTTTGTGAAAAGAAGTAAAAGAAATTCTGTAAATACTCGAGGCTACAAAAAAGGTTTAATTAGTCCTCCCCCCCACTGTCTTTGTTACAAAAAAGCAAGGTTTTCTTTTCAAAATTGTTGGACTATCATTTTGGCTAAATAAGTAACTTTTACAATAACTACTGTGATTTTGTGTCATAACATGCTTTTGAAAACTTTGGTACGTAAACTCTTCAAGTTCTTAATTCAGTCTCTAGGGTTAGATAAGCAGCAAGCTCCAAAAACCACACCTACCCCATTCCCTTCTAAATTGCCTAAAGGCCAGTTAAATTAATTTCACTAATAACATTGCCAAATTGCTAAAAAACTTTAAAATCTCCTTCCAGGCACAAGGATTACTATTTAACATAGGATGAGTGACAAAATAACCTGGACTTCACTCTGTAGCACGTCAATTGTTATAAAAGTATATCAGCACTTAACTTTTCTTTTAGACATGCTCTATTCCAGGTTTTCTGTCTACCTCCACAGTCTACTCCAGGACAGCTGGTTACTACCATCCCCATACTCATTAGAAGACTGGCCAGAACAAGTTGCTGTTCTACACTTACAAGGAACCTTCATGGAACTCTCACCTGCGGAAATCTACACCTTCAGTGCCTACCTTTGGGCCCTGCTCTGGCTGGTTCTGCACCCTTCCGCCACCTTACCCCCACAACGCCCCTGACCAGCAGGAAGTAGCCAGAAAGAGTAATGGCGCCCCTCCCCATAAAAAACAGAAAAGGTGGGAATGAAAGGTGCAGGAAGCGACCAGAGGGGCAGCTCCCGAAATGGCGCCGACACACCAGACAACAAAGGCCCTGGGTCCGGCTTCTGTGAGCACAATTCCCTGTGCGTGCCAATTTCAAACTTCCCCTGCATGTCAATTTGAAACTTGCAAGCCTCCAATCAGTACCCAGCTTTGTTATGCGTCCAATAGGACCATAACACGGCATTGGCCCCACCCTACTCCCATGCAGCTCCTCCAATAGGAGCATAGCACGGCCCCTTCCGGCCCCTGTCGGGCTGATAAATACAGCCCTCTCCCAGCAACTCTCTCTCTGTCTCTCTTTCTCTCTCTCTGTCGCTCTCTCCCTCTCTGCAGCTCTCTCCCCGCCTCTCTCCCACTTCCTCTCTCTTACTCTCTCTTTCTCTCTCTCTTTTCCTTTTCCTCTGTAACAGCCACTTGAATAAATCTCTTGGTCCTGGCCGGGTGTGGAGTCATTACTGGCACCAACTTCTTTCACCGTCTCTACAAGAAATAAAAAAAAATTAGCCAGGCGTGTAGCACACACCTATACTCAGCTATTTGGGAGGTGTGAAAGATAATAGATTATTTATTTTCATAAAATTGA